AAGAGAGAGAGAGAGAGAGATTAAGCCTCTATTTAGTTTGCATCGCAAAAAACAGTATTCGAAAATTATTTAGGAAAGAGTTTTGGCAAAATGTGTTTTAATGTTTTTTGTTTCGTAGAATTTGTTTGGTTATATGATTTTAAAAACAGTTTTACAGAGTAGAAAATCAGTAATACTGCTCTGACCCAATTTTGAGACCAAATTAAGAGCTCAGACATAGCAGCTGACTTAGAATTTTTTATTTCATGTCATGTCATTTGGGCCCCAATAAAGACTCCAAATAATATGTTATCATATCATTTGGGCTCTTAATTTGGTCCCAAAATTTAGTCAACGTAACATTACTGATAGAAAATATTAAAACTTGTTTGAACAGTAATTCAAAAAAAAATGAAAATGGTGGTGATGTGAGTGTGGTGGTTGACGTGGAAGTGTGGTGGTGGTGGTGGTGGTGGGAGTGGTGTTTTCTAAATTCTGGAAATGTTATTTTCAAAATCACACAAAACAGTATTAATTAACTTGTTATCCTAAGGTAGTGTTTGGTAACCACTAGTTTTGGTGTTTTTTTGTTTTTGTTTTCATTTTATGACAAAAAAAAAACAAAAATATGTTTGGTGAATGTTTTCGTTTTTTTTTACAACTTTGTTTTGAAAACAATGACAAAATATGAAAACATCTAAAATGATGTTTTTGAAAACATCAAAAAAAATCCAAACATGCGGCAACTCTTATTTCCCACTTAATGAAATCTGGACTTCGAGTCCTCTCCATAACCTTTTCCGTACCATATAAAAAACCACGAAAAATGCGTTTAAAATACATTTATCTCATTTGCTCAAACATCTCCAACTCCACAGCCACAAACGTCTCCAACTCCGACGAACAAGTGCCTCTAGCTCCATCTCCGGCAACGAAGGAGCTCTCATATAAGTTTCAGTTGTGGTGGTTGGGGTGGGTTGTGGGTTTCGATGGTGGGGGTTGGATTGGGGGTGGGTTTAGGTGGTTGTGGTTTCGGTGGTGGTCTGGGTGGGTTTCGGTGATTAGATTACGGTTGGGTTTTGCCGGTTGTGGTGGTGAATTTCGGTAGTTCTGGTGATAGGTTTCAATAGTGGGGTTTCAGTGGTGTTAGGGGTGGATTTCAGTGGTTATGGTAGTGGTTTTCAGTGGTGGGGGTGGGTTTCGGTAATGGAGTTTTGGGTGGAGTCAGTGGTGTTGTGTGGTGGTTTTGGGTGGTCAGTGGGGTGGTTGTGGTGGTGATTTTCAATAGTGGGAGTGGATTGTGGGTTTCGGTGGTGAGGTTGGGGTAGGGTGGTGATTTTGGGTAGTCAATGCCCTTTGTTGGTGGGGTTTGTGTGGTGAATATTTAGTATAATACCAAACAAATTTTTAATTTTTGTTTTTATAATTTTTAAATATAAATGACTACCAAACATATTCTATATTTTTAATTTTTATCACAAAAAAAGTAAAATTTTTCTATTTTTTTTATAAAAAAAAACATAAAAACGAAAACGTTATCAAACGTACCATAAATTTACTCACTTTTTATTTTTATTCTCAATTTGTAAAAAACAAAAACAAAAATAAAAAACAGCTGGTTAAATAACTTTTTCTTCTAAAAATTATTTTTGAAAATAGAAAAATAATTTTAAAGATACAAATCAAACAGGACTAAATTTTTGGAATGTGACCAGAACTACTCTCACTAAAGTATATACCCATGGGGCCATGGTAAAATTTGTTTCTTCAGCAATAACAGTGATTTAAGCAGTGATGGAACTATGTAGCCCCCCCCCCCCCCCCCCCCCCC